AAGGTATAACATAAAAGTTATAAAAGCATTGCATAACCGGGAATCTGCTGACACTAAAGGATTGCTGTTCACCCCAAACCACAAAGGGTTTTCAGGGTTACACCACTATTTTGTCTTCTCCTGATATCATCTCTCTCAAATAGCCTTCAGAAAGGTTGAGATTATGGTTTTGATTTCTAAAATGCTTCCAACTCCTAAAACCTTTGACAAAACCAAATCAAACCCACTGCTGTCAAGTGAATTCCAACTCATGGCAACCCCATGTGTTACAGATGAGAACTCAGCTCCATAGGGTTTTCTTGACTGTAACCTTTACAAACATAGGTCACCAGTCCTTTCTTCTCTAAGCACCACTGAGTGGATTCAAACCAGCAATCTTTCAAATAGTAGCAGAGTGCAAATAGTTTGCACCAAGAACTACTACACTCGATCACTTATCTTATAGTGTTAGTTTACTGTTTTATAGTTCATAAATATAAATTATATACGTTATCTAAACCTAATCACAAATCATTTTTGCATAAATTAAGTTCTTGTGATGACAAAAACTAAGGATTCAGAACTCTACTCACCCCCCCAAAAAAAAACACTCATATTATATATGTAAGTTACATAAAATAAGCTGTGATTTTCCCCCCAGACGTCCTTAAACCAATACAGAAAGTAGAGGAAAGGCAGGAGTGGGAGTAAGGCTCAAGGACCAGGGTCTTTTGTGATCAATTTACTTTTGGTTGCACCAAGAGAGGATACCTTGAATTCATTGAAATTAGCTGTCCATTGTAGTGCACTAGGAGCACTGGAATTACAAAAGAGGGGAATGAGCCCCAAATCTCCACAATTGCCAGTTTACCTACAATAGTTTGAGGGCATTGATAACCTCCATGTAAACTTTCTGGTAAATTCCACTCTACTAACATGCTCAGAACTCACTTGTATTTTGGCCATTCATTCCTTCAGACACTCTCTTCCCTTGTACTTTCACTGGAAAATTCCTCCCCTACACCTTTTTTGGGGCAAAACATAAGTGATTCTTAAAAGTAGGTATGCACTGACTTCAAGAGAATACTCCCCCCGCCCCCCACCCCAGATGCCGAAGGGATAAAAGAGGAAACAGCTATGAGAAAAGCAGAAACAATCAAAAATCAAGCTGAGACCATCTCAGGGTTTTACTGACAGAATGATCCAGGACCACACACCAAAAGTGGCAGGACGCCATTTCCCCCTGAATCCCTCCTGCATGAGATGTTTCCAACAACTTGAGGTGGCAATTGGACAATTCATTATTCTCATTTCTATGACAGTTCTTCTCAGGAGGTTCCAAAGGCCCTCTATCTTGTAACCCAAGTCATCCCTGTATTGCCATTTATTGAAAATCTTTTTCCAGTTTTTCTTTGAAGCCATTATTTTGAACAGGTGGTTGTTATGATTAATATACACATTTTACAATATTAAACCAGAAAATTCACATCCTCATAAGATACCGAGACTTCTTCCAAGAGAAAAAATCTCTTAATCAATTCAGTGATTGAAACCTGCCAATAGAATCTTTCACTTGGAATCATTCTGACAAGTACTTCAGGTTGCATTTATGTCTTAATTGTAACCTTGTAAAAGCTTGGCACGGCAAAGTCTAAATTCATGCAAAACGTGCCCCTTTTTTTGAGTCTTACCAGTCCCAAATTTAAGCCTTCTCCACAGAAAGTTTTTTTCAGGATTAAGTATCCTCTGGGTTAACCTAATCAAGGTTTCACTTCAGCCTGGGTCCAGTTTTGAGGAACTCTCCTCCCCACTGCCCTTCTATAGCACCCACTCTCCTGCCCTTTCCTAAAAGGAAAGAACTTAACATATGAAACTGGAAACCAGACTGAAATAAGGAAATAGTTTTCTATAGCAGTTAAACCTCAAGCATTTGGGACATAATCTACTTTTAATCTTCCGCTCAAAAGTAGAATCTAGAAAGCAAATTAAGTCATTTTGTAAGAAAATAATTTCATCTACTTTAACCGTCTAATCTGTTTTTAAAAAAATCATTACCTAAAACGGGTTCAATTACTAGTAAACCAAAGAGAACAGTCGAGTAGTCTCAATGTTCATATCACGTGAGGAAAATCAAGGTGAGTAGCCGTAAACACTAGTCAGAGCAAGTATATAGGACACGTGTCCAGAAGCACACCGCTCCTTTGCTTTCTATCTTTATGCCATTCTCAGTACCACCCAACTGCTTCAGGCAGAATCATTTCAAAATGTAGTCTTAAGCAACACAGTGGAGAACCAAACATATATATGTTTACTATTAATACCATAGAACCTAGGGTATATAGTAGGGAAACTCTAAAAGATTGGAGTAAAATGATGACGCTGAATTCTCACTCCTACAAACTTCTGAAAATGCAAGAACCAAGAGGAAGATAATAAATCTTTAAAATTTGATTCATGTTTAGAATACATTCAAAAAGACTCTTGATCTGATGAATGTAACTATAGCCTGGTCAAGTAAAGCCTGGCAGGGCTAGGCTAGCAGCTTTGTTTTTGCCTGCGTATTGCTTTATTTGACAAATATTCAAAAGTTAATAACGAATTGTGAAATTTCTGATTCTCCATTCTCCCCGTATGTGATAATTAAGTCAAAGAGGCCAATGGTATGTATATCAGAACAGCGTGAAAGGTTAGGTAGACAAGAACGAATTCAAAAACCCAAACTATCTCCCCATTTTTCTTCCTTCTCCTGTTTCACTCTCAGACCGGCTTGGTTTTACTTCCCCCCAAGATTTCAGATCTTCAATCTTACAAAGATGACTGCTTCAATTAATAGCAAAACAAACTCCCACAAAGTGCTGTCTTTATTTTCTCAGCTGGGCATCTCGGTCTGTCTGGTAGTTGTGCTTAATGCCACTGACAACCTTTCACCTTTCAGAATCAGCACCTGCAATTCGCAAACGCGCCTGGTGTAATTCATGGCCATCCTACTTGCAAGTTGGCTCTAAACTGCAGAAACCCCTTCACATTTGTGGTGTCAACCTAGTATACAACTCTCTCCTCCCCATCAAAATTCATGTAACTCTAGCATGAAAGCTTTTAAAGAATACATCTTTCATCTACATTCCTGCTAAAGAAAACTGAATGAGTGAATCGTTAAAATATCACTAGAAAAAAAGCATGTGATTTTTAGCTCAAATCAGTAATGGCCTATTAAGTAAGTACCCTTGAGGACAGTATCTTTCTGTCACTGTGACAAACCTCAGGAAAGCAGCCACATCCCAAATGCTTTGGGAGAGTAACCAGAAGAGCAGCTGAAATTTACCTAAATAAAAAATGAGTCATTTATTTTTAAAATTCCACTTCCATTTATTTTAACTGATCTCTTAAATATCCAGTGACTGGCAATTCATCAGCTGTCATAAATGCTCAGCCCTACACTTGTATACAGATGCAATTTTTAACTTTAAACAGCAACTAACCCTCTGCTCAGTGTTACCTACTGAGGCAAATTACTACAGGAAGACTCCCTCCTGTCTTGGAGAACATTTAAATGAGGTGCCTGTCATGAACATTTCCTCAATCTCACTTCAATAATTCTCAATCTCAAAAGTCACCTGTGCCTCAGGACAGCGCAATCATGTGTTTTCAAGGGTGAAAAAATGTGTTTATTTTACGGAAAAGGATTCATCACCACAGGAAACATGATGGGGCTGACTGCATATGATTTTTCTGCTTTTCCAGAAGCTAACGTTTTAAAAATCTTTTTATAAACTATTTATTTCACACTAAATATAACAGAATCGGAAAGAAGGTGGTTGACTAAGGAAGAAAAGGGCTAAAGAGAGGGGGAAAATATGATTTCAAAATTGGGACCCCAATGTAAGTTTACGGGACAGTCATTAGAAAGATTACAGAAAACCACCTACCTTTGTTAGGTATTTGGAGTAGCCCACTTCAGAAATTTACATCATTCACTGCCCGGCAGCAGTTGACTCAACTAGGAGGTAACCTACAACATCTTCTCTGCCTTTTTAATGTAAAACCAAAACGAGGAGTGTCCAGCTACTCCCCACCGCGCCGCTTAAAGCAACAGATCGTTTTAGGCTTAGCTCTCTGGCTCTGGGAATTCCAGTTGGTCAGAATTTCTTAACCTTGGAAACCTGCAGGGAAGCTCTCCACCAGGAAAACTCCCCAAACCCTGGCTTCTCCCTGTCCCAAGCTGCACATTCCAAAGTATGAAGCAGGAGCGATAACCAGAAGGCAGCTCTCGGGGGGCTAAATTCCTGCCTGAAGCGAGAACTTGAAAGTGCGGCGAATCCACTTGCAGAGCCGGCGCCGGGTCCACACCCGCAGAGAACAGCCGCCCGGGAGCCCGGCTGGTCCGGCGCTGCGCACCGGGAGCGCTTGGTGTCGGGTCTCCGAGCTCTTCCCCGTTCCCTCCCTTCCTCCTCCTGCTGCCCTCCCCCTGCCGAGGCCATTCGCCTCACAGTAGCAAGGTTGTCTCTCGTATACTCCCTTCCCTTAAACTCACCAAACCAGATTTTTACTCCCAACACCAGCAACTTCCCGTAAATCTGCACTGAAATTTTATCCTGCTCGCTGAGCCTCCGCTGGCTAAAGGCCAGTGCAGCATTCCTGTTGTTTTAGGAGCGCAGATACCTTTGCTGAAGGTTAAAAAAATCTGCCTTGATGGTAGAGATTTGAGGACTCCATCAGATACACTTCTCCTCGCTCAAAAAGTCCCATCCATTTCAGACATCTGGAAATAACCGCAGAGGTGGTACCTGCCCCACCTGAGGCCATTTGCCCGAGTCAGACGGCCAGCCCCCTTTGGGCTGTTCAGAGAAACCAACCCAGAACCATGTTTGAGGACTAAGGAACTTGGTGTTGAATTATAAACTGATCAGTACCACCCCACCCCCACTCCTCCCCCAAGGAAAGAAGTCATTGAACCTGGTACGATCACAGCGAGCACCGCGGCGGGCCTGATGGAAGGGGGGGACCTCCCAGAGCGTCCTCACCTGAAGCCGAGCATTGCTTGGCGAGCGCAGAAAGGAACGTCACGCGGACGAAGCCCTGACCTTTCCCGGGGCCTTCGCAGCAGGGCCTGGGGCCTGGGCGCTGCTCTTTCAGAAGTGGCTCATTTTAATGCGCTCTGACCTAAAGTTACAGCTGGTTTCTAGAAAAGGGAACAAAAAAACACTGCATTTAGAAACAGCAGCCAAGCCCTCCCTCGACCTTGCCTGATCTCTGGGGAGTTGGCTCTAAACCCCCACCCTATCCTCATCCCAAAAAACCCAGAAGCCCACAATCCGCGCCCCACCCCCTTCGCATTACCTGTTTATACTGAAGTTAAGAAGCCTCACGCATTTCAATAGAGCGCTAAACCTGTTTGTAGGCGCGTAATCGGCCAACAGGAATCGAATTCTGTGACTAAACAAAACTAGAAGAGGAAGCAGAAACCACCGGGAACCTAAAACGGAGTTGTGATTTCGGGTTGCAATGTCATTCAACTGAAAAAAAAAAAAAATACTGTTTCTCATTGGGCTACTTTAGTGCAAGAATATTCCAAACATGATTTTTGGTAGTTAAATGAGTTAATACACGCAAAGGGCTTAGAACAGTGCCTGACACATGGTGTTAGCTGCGCTATTATTATTTTTATTTGTGTTTGTATTTTTATTACGGCTTTTTCTCTGAGGAGGAGAAGGTGTGGCCAGAGTTAGAAGTGGGTTCTAGACCCAGCACTGCCACTCACTAGCTGGAGAGCCATGAACAAGTCATTTGACCCCACCGGGTCTCAGTTTCTGGAAGATTCTAAAGATGAGATTTTGCAGTTTACATTCCTTGTGGACAGTCTTGAATACAACGGGAAATAAAGTCCTTGTGATGAAAAGGGTGTCCAACTGATTTTCGTCTCACTTAAAAGTTGCATGACTGACAAGATACATGGAGATAAATTGGCTTGTACATTCCAAGAATTGTTCGCTAATGGAAAGGAAACCCAGGACCTAGCCATCAACTGTTCATGTCTGCTTAATTCTAATTTGGATTTAGGCACTTGAGCTACTGTCTGACCCTGGGAAGTTACTTTACTCTATTTAGTCAAAAGCTGAAACTTGACAAATAGTGGTCATTGGCGTTTGAAAAGTAATGTGAAATACCAAAAAATAAAAAAAAAGTTGCCATCGAATTGATTCTGACTCATAGCTACCCTATAGGACAGAGTAGAACTGCCCATAGGGTTTCCAAGGAGCGCCCGGTGGATTCAAACTGCTGACCTTTTAGTTAGCAGCTGAGCTCTTAACCTCTATGCCACCAGGGTTGCCAGTGTGAAATAGTCAGGGGAAAATCATTTTAAAACTCATAAATATTGAAGAGTGGTTACTGAAGGCTAAAATGTGATCAGTGCCCCCACCCTTTTCTCTCCATTTAACTTCACCTTTAAAAAAGAAGTCATAATCCCTTCTACTATGAATGAGGCCGTTTCTACTTTACGAAGTAATTTCACTGACCTTATCTTATCTGATCCTTACAATTGGATCCTATGAAGTATTTTATCCCCATTTTGCAGATGAAGACCCTGAAGTCACAAAGGCTAAGTAGTTTTGTCCAAGATTTCATAGTTGAGTGAGTGGTGATGTGAGGACTAGTTCCCAGCTTTTGTGAAATTTACATTTCAATTTAAAATAGTCTTTGTCACCTTTTGTTGTTGTTAGGTGCCAACAAGCCGGCTCCCACTCATAGTGAGCCCATGTGTAAGAGAACAAAACATTGCCTGGTCCTGTGCCATCCTCATTGCTACGTTTGAACCCATTGTTGCAGCCACTGTGGCAATCCATCTTGTGGAGGGTCCGGACCCTCTACTTTACCAAGCCTGATGTCCTTCTCCAGGAACTGCTTCCTCCTGATAACTTGTCCAAAGTATGTAAGACGAAGTCTCGCCATTCTTGCTTCTAAGGAGCATTCTGGCTGTAATTCTTCCATGGCTTGGGTCAGGCACAACTTAGTTCTCAAAAAATTTTAAAACCAGAACCTAGTCTGAAACATTTTAGTTTTCTGATCCCTTAAAACCAAGCTTCTTTGATCTTTTATCTTTCCTATGGGGCAAGATTTAACACAGATCAATTATAAACATTTTCTGATTATAGATTCATTCCTTGTCAGTACAAGCCAGAGTGAAGTATGAACAACAGCAGGTCTCAGCGGTAGTGAGAATACTTCTAGGCTATCCCCCCAGAAGTAAGGGTCAACACTCTGGGCATAAGAAGGACTCTATAACCTCAAGACAACTTGAAAATCCCAGCTTTACTTTAGCCTGGATTTTTCTTTTCTTTTCCAGAAGTATCTGGATTGTGGCCTCAAGAGCCTCTCGATGTCAGAGGCCCTCAAGCTAAAGGATTCAAGAGAAGTCATTCTCAGGCTCATAGATTTTTCCACCTCAGAACAGGTTTTTCTGTGGGAAGGACTGGACTGACAGCTGGGGAATAATGACAGGGAATGATATAATGAGTTTGGAAGTGTGGAGGTCAGTGACTTCAGGTGCACTGGAGCTGGAGTCAGGGAAGACATCCCTGGAGGAGGCACAGGCCCCAGGAAGCAAGTCCTCGAAGCAGTTTGGAGTCAGTCCCTATTTCTCCAACGTTGCCTAGCATCTCTGCTTCCTCTTTCTCAGTTTTACCCACAAGCACCTATTAAACTCACCCACTGTCATCGAGTCAATTCTAACTCACAGCGACCCTATGGGATAGAGTAGAACTGCCCCCATAGAGTTTCCAAGGCTGTAAATCTTTACAGAAGCAGACTGCCACATCTTTCTCCTGTGGAGCAGCTGGTGGGTTCGGACTGCTGACCTTTTGGTTAGCAGTCAAGAGCTTAACTACTGTGCTGCTAGTACTGCTTCCCAGCACCTATTAAATGGGTATAATTCTTGTTCCTAGCTCCTTCCCACTGCCCTCCCCAGGAATATGGCAAAAATCAAACCGATTTTAAAAGTGGCAGGCTATGGAGAAAGAAATTTGAGCTTTTATTATTTCTACATGGTGGCTGACCTTGATACTTGTTGTTTATTATTATTATTCTTTTCATTCTCAGGCAAACACCATAATTTGGGGGCTATTTCAGTTGTTCAGACTCCGGCTTTTCATTTTCTGCTTCCTTCTTGATCTTTTACCTATAAGGTGGTGGAGTCAGTGCAAAAAGAGTGGAGATTGGTTTCCCATAGGTTTGAGTTTGAATTTCAATTTTACCTCTTAGTTATGTTTTCTTCTTACTTATGGGCAAATTACTAACCTCCCTAAACTTCAGCTTCTTCATTTATAAAATGTAAGGGTTAAATAAGAAATCAATCTCAGCACAATTCTTGCCATATAGAAGGTACACAAGAAATGGCATTTCCTTTACACCTGGAAAAAACCTACTCCGTGGCTTTAGAAGACTTGTCTTCCTCACTAAACACCTGAAAAGATGCTCAACATCGTTAGCTATTAGACAGATGCAAGTCAAAACCACAATGAGATACCATTTCATTCCCCCTAGGATGGCTAAAATGGAAAAAAAAACAAAACAAAAAACAGCAAACAACAAACATTGGTGAGAATGTGAGGAAATTGGAACTCTTAACCATTGCTGGTGGGAATGCAAAATGGTACAGCCGTCGTGGAAAACAGTGTGGTGGTTCCTCAAAAAACTAAAAATAGAACTGCCATAACCAAAAACCAAACCCTTTGCCATCGAGTCGATTCCAACTCATAGTGACACTGTGAGGCCAGAATAGCGACTTGTGGATTTGAACTGCCGACCTTTTGGTTAGCAGTTGTAGCACTTAACCACGGGGCCACCAGAGCTCTAGAAATTTGGAGCATTTCCAATTATACATTAGCACCATTGATTGTCACAGCTGTGGGAGGTAGGTATGGGTAAGGCACAAATCTCATTTATATTACCCCATTGCTCAGATTAGGAAATTGAGATTCTAGCGGTTGCTCCTAGTTGCTAGTAAGTAGCAGAGCCTTTTTTTTTTTTTTTTATTGCTTTTTATTATTCAACACTACTGGGACCATTTGCTACTGTAGTCTTATACCCAGCTAAGGAGCAGAATCAAGGAGTTCCAAACCATTCTTTTAGTGAGGACTTGTAGGGACAGGGCCAGGAGATTCTGGCCAGAGTTTTTCTGCACACTACTCAGTTTGCAGGCACGAAAAACCACAAATAACCCCATCAAAGACCTGTGCTGTGTGAAAAGTGAGGTGTGCTGACCCTACGGATTACGCTTTCAACTCTACAACAAGCAGAATGACGGAGAAATAAAGAGCTTGGGCTCGAAGTCAGGGAGATAGAAGTTTGTATGCTGGCAGTTACATGACAAGTTACCTAACTGTCCAAGCCACAATTTCCTGCTGACAATACCTAACTGTAAGGTCGTTGCCAGGATTAAATGAGATGATATACATAAAAGCACCTAGCACAGTGCTCAACACACTATACGTTTTCCATAAATGTTATTTTTCTTAAAGTACTAAAATGATACTTGTGAGGCCTAAATGAGGCAATAAATGCAAAGAGCTTAGAACAATCCCTGGCACATGGTAGTCCGTGTATAACTGTTTGCTATTATTGTTGTTATTATTATTTCTCCATGTGACAATGCCTCATAACAGTGATGAGGTCATGATAAGTAAGCAATGGACTTTTTGTGGGGGTCTGTTATTTATTTCTTTTATTTTATTATTATTATTATTGTACTTTAGATGAAGGTTTACAGAACAAACTAGTTTCTCACTAAACAATTAGTACACATATTGTTTTGTGACGTTGGTTACAAGCCTCACGACATGTCAACACTCTCCCTTCTCGACCTTGGCTCCCAATCACCAGCTTTCCTGTTCCCTCCTGCCTTCTATGTTATTTATTTCTTATGGAAGATGACCATCTTAGGTACCATCCTAGATGTGAATAATGGTAATATCTTCTTGTGATTTTGATTTCTACCTGTTTCCCTCATTCCCCTTCATTTTACCTGAAACAGAAATAATTACTAGTTGGGATAAAATCACTGGCCTGAAGCCAAGTTTTCTGCTGAGGCTGGTGGCATTTTTCCTAACACACATTATTCAGATGATAAACCATATTTTATTCCAGAACATGCAACCTGACCCAGAGAAATCGCTCACCCCTACAGTTTCCACAGTCTCCCCTTCTCCATATGGTGGCAAAGAATATTGAATACACCACGGACGGCCAAAAGAACAAACAAGTCAGTGGTAGAAGAAATACAACCAGAATGCTCCTTAGAAGTGAGAATGGCAAGTCTTTGACTCCCTTATTTTGGACACATCATCAGGAAAGACCAATTGCTAGAAAAGGATATGATGTTTAGTAAAGTGGAGGGTCAGTGAAAACAAGAGAAACCCTCAATGGGAAGGATTGACACAGTAGCCACAACAATGAACTCATACAT